ACTTTGGTAAGAAGCTCTTTCAATTGATCGAACCGAGTTTGACACAAGGGTGTCCAATCAGATGGCTTCAAGACTTTTTTGGTGGTCAACGCGCTGAGAGGAGCCATGAGAAGAGATCGATTGGGGATGTGTTGTTGAAAGTAATTGACAACACCCAAGAAGCTCTGGACCTCTTTAATGGATTTGGGCACTGGCCATTCAAGCACGTTTGTAACTTTACGGTGATCCAGTGTACGCCCGTCAGCAGACACGCAAAAGCCAAGAAGGTAAACCGACTTCTGTGCAAAGTGACATTTGTCAGGGTTCAAAACGAGATTAACATTGGTCAATGCTTTAATGACAGCTGCAACATGGGGAATGTGCTCATCCATGGTCGTCGAGAAGATAACGATATCATCAACGAATGCAGTGGCAAAAGGCATGTCCTTGAGTAAGGTTGACATGACTCGTTGGAATTTAGCCGAGATGTGCTTGAGGCCAAATGGACACCCAACAAACATGTATTGGATATTGCGTACAGAGAAGGTTGTTTTTGGTCGATCGTGTTCGACAATCTCGAATCGGTGAAAAGCACTTTTAAGATCGAGCGTGGAGAAAATGGATGCACCACTCAATGTTTCAAAGACTTCTTCGATAAGAGGTAATTCATAATGGTCATCACGCAAGTGACGGTTCAAGTGCCGAGGATCCAAACAAGGGCGTTTCTCACCAGTGTGTTTGCCAGTGACATCCTTTTTAGGTGCGAAGGTGATGGGACTATGCCACTCAGTGAAATCAGGTGCATAGGTAATGATGCCATCTTCCAACCATTTTTGGACGGTTTCATCAAGCAATGGTTCCAATTTTTTAGGCACAGGGTATGACTTAACACGTTCGGTAACATCATCGATGGTGTCAAGTGAAATCTTTGATTCGGGTACGGTGCAAAAGGCGTTCTTAGGAATTTGCTGATTAGCCTCAATGAGCGGTTTCAAGGTGCGTTCAAGAAGAGCACGCTCTAAGCTGTTACCAGCAGGTGAGTTATTGGGTACATCAATGTAGCCAATCTCTTCCTCAATATCGGAGTCATTATCCTCATCAAAAGAATATGGTAGTCCTCCAATGTAAATGCCAAGTTTGCTATACAAGTCACTGCCAACAAGCATCGGCTCTTCAGTATCAACAACAGCGAAGGAATGCCTAATGGTACGTTTGTTACAGCGGATGACAAGGGGTTCAGTTTCACCTTGTACATTAACATAATTATTCTTCCCAACAGCCTTTACATGAACAGACGGCAAATTTACTGAACAACCAATTTTATTGCAAACAAGTGTGGAAAGCGTACTAATGGTTGCGCCCGTATCAAGGATACCACTAATCTTGTGATCATTCTGCAAGAGGATTGGTAAGTAAATTGTATTGGGATCATCATGTTGTGTATTGATTAGCTGCTTACCTTGTGCCTTCTGATCAATGTCCATATCATCGTCAGAGCCATCCGATTCAGATGCGGCGGGAGCAGGTTGTTTGTCCTTGCTGTTGGAAGCAGGACGCAATGCACGTACCACACGCTCACCAGTTGCCTTGCCCTTGCCCTTGGAGGCCTTGCAAACAGCCAAGTGACCATAGTCAAAAGGTTCGCCACAGTGCCAGCAAGGTGTGCTTGAAGGTTTGCTTGATGAGGATGGTGCATGTTTGGAGGCAAGTAAAGAAGCAGAAGGTTTGTATGGCTTTTTCAAGCCCTTCTGGTTGCACACCTCAGTGGTGTGGTGAGCCTTGGCGCCATGGTACTTGCAGCCCTTGATGCTGTGAGGGTTGTCATCATCATTTTTTGGCTGTTTCTTGGGGCCACGACGACGAACAGGAGAAGCAGATCTTGATGGTGATGATGAGCGAGAACGACGAGAGCGACGAGAGGAACGGGAAGGACGACCACGATCATCATCACTAGCCGACTCATCCGAGAAGTCATCAGCAATGTCACGTGCTTGATTTGCCACGTCGGTGATGCTGTTGGGTGTGATGTTTTGACGGCGAAAGATGGTTTGAATCTCGACCCTCAAGGATTTGCTCAAGGAGCCAAGGAACTTCATCGCCAAAGCATTGTTGTCAGGGACACCACCAGCACGACGAGCAGTACGAAAGCGTTTTTCGTAAGCACGGAAGGTCTCGGTCTTGCGCATGTTGAGGGTCCACACCTTAGCCGACATCTTTTGGCGGGAGAGAGAGGAACCAAAATGGGATCGGATAATCTCTTTGGCTTCACACCAAGGTAAGTGGCGATCAGCTAGAGTATCCTCAAACCAAGAGAAATCTTCTTCAAGAATGTGCATGGATAATAAACGCTCCCAATTCTCATCCTTGATCATACCATAACCACTGAGGACCGCATCAAAACGTTGTATGTAACGATCGATGGTTGAATGAACATCTTTGGACTTGTTGATGTTGTGCTTGTGGTGGCCCTCGATTTGTAACCATGGCATGTTGTGAGGTACAGGAAGCTTACCACTCTTGTAGGTGGCATCATTGGTGGTACTAGCACTTGTTGAAGCTGTTGAGCTTTCAGACGAAGCACTAGACAATGATGGTGATGGTGTAGGGGCAGCAACTTGTTGCTGGAATTGCTCCATAAGACGCTTGGTGCGCAACAATGATTCCAAATGCACTTGTGCATCGACCAAGTTGGCACGGATGCGGGTCACCTGATCGCGCTGGGAGCTGACTTGGTGCTTGGATTGCTCAATGGACAGAGCTAGCACACGTTGTTGTGCTACAAGCACAGCTTCCTCAAAGCCTTCTTGCAAGTTGGAGCCATCCACATGGAGACCAGTGATGGGAGCAGGAGCACCTGGTTGGTCCAGAGGTGAAAAAATTTGTTGAGGATGTTTCTCAGTGGAACCGGTATGCACCTTTTCAGGTGCAGATGAGCCAGCGGTGGTTTGAGAAACAGAGGTTTCACCTGAACCAGATTGGCTTGATCCCTCAGGGGCAGGAGCAGAGTTGTTGTTGCCTTGGTTGTTGCCATGGTTGTCAGAGTCGACGTTCATGGGCTCAGCGCCATCACGAGCCATAGCAGCACCAAAGGGAAGAGGTTGATCGTTGTTGTAGTTGTTGGACATGATGAATGAAGTACGAATTCACTGAAAAAAATGTTGTATCAAGCAAAGAATAAAGGTGGACAATAAGTCAGTGATA